ACATGGAACTGAGGGTCAAGTTTTAAGGATTTTTTCTTTCCAGAGGCATATAAAAAAAAAGCTTAAGACGATGGAGAGAAAGGAATAGCAGATTCTTCACTGTGGACTTCAACAGGAATTTAAGTTCTGAAGCCGTCTCAGATACCTACGTTCTTCCAATGTATCTGAACTAACTTCTCGTGTGCACGAAAACTGCAGCCCTCTTCTGGGCACTGCAAAATAAGGAAAAGTGTATTTAATATTTGAGTCTGCATTGACTTATATAGGCAACTCATAAGAGCATAAGAACTGCTTTTTACTGGGTCAGACATAGCTTCATCTTACCCAGTGTTTTGTGTCACACAGTGGCAGACAGCAAATGGTTAAAGGGAGAATGAACAGCGTATGACCAGGGTTTTTTCCATTGTTCCCTTCCTACTTGCATCTTCTGGCATTTAAGGTCTAGGAAGTTCCAATTCAGAGGCTAAACCACTAACTCCCATGCTCAATAGCTACTATTCACTTCTCCTAGAATTCATAAAATCCTTTTTTTTAATCTGGTTAAACTGTCAGTTTGCCACAAGATGTTGGGGCAATGAGTTCAACACTTTAGTTATGCACTGTATGAGAAGGAACTCATAAGTCAACTACACATTTCACCACTGCTCCATACTAATAGAACTAACCATTAATATATCTCAGCCACTGTAGCCAGTTAATACTTTCCATAAAGTAGGGCTGCCCATTTGCAGGCTGCATGGGGACCCTAAGGGGTTGACCTGCAGCCCCTGGGCTCCCAGTCTGGACACTGCACCCACACCACTCTCCTTCTCCTGTTGCTGGGGTCTCTGGGTTCCCCCTTCCCTCCTCCATCTTGCTTCCTGCCTCTGCCCTTGGAAGCAGCACAGCATGCAGGGCCAATGAAGCCAGTGGGAAGGGAGCTTAGGAACACCTGGTGACCCTGCACAGCACAAGTTTAGGGCAGCAAAGGGGCCCCTGCCATGTAGCAAGGGGCCACATAGCACAACGCAGGGGTGCTGGTGCAGCATACAATTCCTGACTCCCTGAAAGTAGGACAGCCCTGGCCAGGAGCACTGAGAGAGAGCTATATAAAGGTCCAATTGCTACAGCTTAAAAAAAAAAAAAAAAAAAAAAAGTCATTCCTAAACTGACTGAAAGCTATGCACTATATTTACCATTTTATTTTCAAACCCCCTTTGCTGAAGTCAGCCAAAAAATGGAAAGTCCTGTCTCTGAAAACAGTTCAACTGTGATGCAGACACAGAGGAAGATGCTTTTGGTAGCAGGCTTCTCAATTTCTGTTGGGGGACCCATTACCAGGAGCATCTTTTTGTTTTATTGTGGTTTGGGTTTTTTTCCAATCAAGATACTGGATTCCTCCCCACTCTTATAACCAGGTTCGTGCTCCAGGGGTGGCAGGAGCGCCCCTTGGTGGCCATACCCTGCTCCAGCTCTAAGGTACTCTCCCCTTCTCACTCACGTACCACACCTTTGGTGTAATTGTTTCATTGGAAGGGAGGATGCCTAGTGGATCCTAGAGTAAGCCCCAGTACCTCTAACAGCCAGCAGGTTCCTCCTGGACTCCACTGGTCTCATTCCTACCCTTGCTGAGCAGGGGCTCTCAGTCCACCCAGGCCCCAGGGCACTTGTAAGCCTTAAGGCCTAATTATGTGGCTCCAACCACCCCTTATACCATGCCTTGCATATGTTGCCTGTCCAATTAGTCTTTCTTCAAGGTAGCACCTGTGACAGGTAGGGGTTCTCCTGGTTCCTCCTGCTCTGGAGCTCTTTCCACCGCAGCCACCAGGGCCAGACTGCCTGCTCTGATTCAGGCCCTGGGTTTATATGGCTGGAAGCCATGCTCCATTTGGTCATGTGACTCCCTGAGCTGCCACAAATGTTTCCCTAGTAAGCTTGCTGACAAGGCTCCAATGCAGCTCACCGCTCCTGGCCTTGCTGCTGCAGCAGGGCCCATGCTTCCCAAGCAGGATTTTTCCCTGCTAGATTATCACAGAAAAACCAGCTTTGATAGGCACTCCTAGCCTCTGCCTCTTCCCCTGGCTGATTATATTCCTTGCAGCCAGCTCTGGCTGCTACTGTTTTCTCCTCAAGTAACAAGAATCTTCTGGCTCTCCATTACACCTCCCCACAATGTTTTTCAAAACAAGATTCTTTCCATTTGAGGACTGACGGTGCTGGTGAACTGATCCACAGCACTCTGTAAGCAAAAGGTCCTATTATTATTTCACAAGTGTTATATAACAAAGGGACAGAGAAGAAATCTATTTCCCCGAAGTTAAACTTAACCCAGAACTGTTTAAAGCATACAAAGCCACCAGCTACACACTATTAAGCTACAAGATCTTTTGAACAATTAGGTACAAAGTCTACATTGCCCCTAGTCTTTATTAAGGGAAACTAAATACCTGTTAAAAACCAGATTACAACTCTCAGCGACCAGCAAGGAAGAACTTCACTACAGTTTCTTGCTTGAAGTGATAGAAGTAGAGCAAATGGCACCTAAGAATTACTCCTATTGTGGAACTGTTTTCAATGGAAGAACCATGGGACACTGGACGGAACAATGGGATGGAAAAACTGCATTTAGCTCAGATCTGGAGTAGGAAATCCCCTAATATTTCACGCAGGTTTCAAACCCAGATATGCTTTCAGCATCAGGGTCACCAACAGCCAATCCCATGCAACTACAGGCAAAGGTTACAGATTTAACTGGGACCTTAGCTTTACCGCTTAATCAAAAAGTATACTAATTAGCACTAGCACTATACTCCTTGTCTTAGATCCCAGTTAAGGTAAAAGTACTGATTCTAATGCAAATATTACCAATTGATACCACCCTTGTAGAACACGGATCCCCTCTAGAGATCTTCCATTCAGACACTGACCATGACAAACTACACTGAGGTTACAAAATCAAACACCAAAATGAAAGAACGTTGACAGAAGGCCAAAAACATTACTTTAATATAGACTTCCTAAAAATAAACAAACCCAACCTGTGTGTGCTGTGCAATGTGTTCATCATACTTTTCTTGGTTTTTAAAGCCACGGTCACACGTATCACAATAGTGAGCAAAATCTGGTTCTTTTTTCTTTTTGTTCTGCCAAAAGAGGAAAAAAAGGGGACAGGGTTAAAGAAATTGATTAAAAATATTGGCTCTTATTTTAAATAAAGTAACATGCTGTGAAGAAAGCGTTGAAAATATTTTATATCAATTGGAATTTCAATACTCCAGATATCTGAAATGCAGCTTAGTCTGAAAAGTAATTTTAAATCAAACTACCATATTCCACTTCTCTCAGCTTTTAAAGTCAAATAGGTTCCGTTTACTTTTCTTTTTAAAGCATCAATGCTGCCAACCCATCCCAAGCTTTGAATATCTAGGTAGACTGAAGATATCAAATGAATCATGAGAAAAAGATTCTTGCAGGAGGCCAGCCCGTCTCAACAATAAAAAAGCACCCCACGATACTGAATTTAGGCTTACAGACACATCATAGTGCACGCACCATGTGTTTCAATTGAGAGTACTCTGTACTTGAACTACAGCTGAGGTTGCATGCTCGACATAACAATTATAGTAAGTACCTTCTGTTTGTAGTTTCCACTGCCAGAACGTCTGTAATACGGGGGTGTTTGCTCAGCTTGCCATTCTGAGGCAAAATGGCAGCTTCCACCTTCAACAACACCAGTTACCAAAAACAAAAAGAAAATTAAAAAGCAGCAATTATAAATTAAAAGTAATAAAAATGCAATGTGAGAATACACCCTATTTCCACCAGGATTATATTTAAGGGAAGGGGGAGCGGAAGAAGAGTGTACAGCCTAAGTTAGTGCTTTTCAACCTTTTTTCATTTGCGGACCCTTAAAAAAATTGAGTGGGGGTGTGGACTCCTTTGAATTGTAAGCGTGGGTATTTGCATACTTCCGATTGATCATAGTCATCTTCTACAGATCCCTTTTTAATATTGTACAGACCCCCAGGGCTACAGGTTGAAAAGCTCTGACCTTAGTTATTGGAGCCAACCTTTCCATAGAACTGCGGAGAAGTTGCGCCTGAACGGACCTCCAAAGGTCAACCCCCCACAAGGCAGGATCATCCCTAATTAAAATCAACCAAAACAAATATATAATCTAACCTCTTTGGAAAACTACTGCCAACCTTTATGCAACACAAGACATCGCACCCTAACCTGCCACAGGTAAAGCAGGTGGACTGCAGCAGCCAACATCCTGCTTCTGTAAAAGGTTGCCAATATGAACTCGAGAGACCCTGGGTAGAGAGAGGTCTGCACCCCACATTAGAGAGGAAAGCAAAACCCCCCACAGCCCGTACCAATCTGACGCTGGGGTAAAATTCCTTCCTGCTGCCAAATATGGGGATCAGTCTGACCTGAGCAGAGAAGCAAGACCCTCCAGCCATGAACCTCAAGGTTTATGCCCCAGCAGGAGCACTGGTGCACCCCAGGAACAGGCGGTGCCACCAATCAGCCCGAGGGCTGCTCCAATCCCCTTCCCAACCTGCTCTCTGCCCCCGGCGGGATCAGCCACATGCGTCCCATGCATGGGCCACCCCCAGCCTCTGTAACTTGAGACAGCCAGAGCTCGCAGAAGGGTATACTGGCAGCGGCTCCAGGTGCCTCAGCACTGCTCCTCCCGCCGCGTACCTGGGGGCGGACCTGGGTGCTGCTCCCCGTAGCCGGGCGCCGGCGGGGGCTGGTACCAGGCGCCGGGCGGCCCGAAGTCGGTGGGCGGCCCCCAGAAGCCGGGTTCCCAGGCAGGCGGCGCGCAGAACACGGGGGGCGGTGGATACCAAGCGAAGGGGTTCATGTCGGGCCCGACCCTTGCTGCTGCCTCCACATGGGCCGCCTCGGGGGCCACCACGTTGCGCGTCACTTCCGGGCCCGCTGTAAACACCACGTCCCCCCCCCTCGTGGCGCAGAGCTGGCCAATGGGCAGCTAGCAACGTCATCGGACGACGCCGGAAGCGCGGCGGAGTCTCGTTGCGTTGCGCTGCGCCGCGCCGCGCCGGCGCTCCTGTTATGGCCCGGGAGCTGATCGGGCCGGCGCTGCCCCCGGGCTTCCAGCGCTGCCCCGAGGCGGACCCCGACGAGGACTTCACGCAGGGTGAGGAGGGGGTGGTGGCCGTTGCTGCCCACCAGCCTCTGGGCTTCGCCGCGTTCAGGCCGCTCCCGGTCTCGGAGTGGGGCTCGGCTCTGGTTGTGGCACGTGTGACTAAGGCAGAGGTTCTCAACCCCCGGGCCGCAGCGGGTTGGCGGCCGGGCCGCACGAGGGTTGGCTACCAGACTGGGAAAGGCATCCGACTGAGTATAAAAAAGGGTTGGCTGCCGCTCCACGGTATGCCGGTCACTTCCAGACTGCAGTTTGCTGGTCACGGTCGTTTTTGGGCCGCAGCTTGCTGGTCCGTGATCTAAAAAAGGTTGGGAGCCCCTGGACTAGGGTGACTGCCCATCCCTAATTGGGCAGGACAGTCCCAAAATGGGAACTTCAAGCCCTGGTCCTGGGCTGCATGACTCCGGACAGTATTTGTCCCGGATTCACGGTATCGTGCAGGGATCTGGGTTTTCCATTCGCGGCATGAAGGTGCTGCTTGGGGCTGAGGGGAGCAGGATGCAGGAGGTGCTGCATGAACATGGCCGGGGATACAGCCAGGAAGTGTGGAGAGCAGCTCCCTGCAGGTAAGTCTGTGAAGGGGGGGAAGGGACATGGTGGGCGGCAGATTGAGGCCCCCACGGTGGGCTAGGGGGCTGGCAGCACTGCCCAGGGTGGGACATGGAGTGGGACGGAGGCACGGGTGGTTCATCTGGGGAGGGAGTACAGGGGGCAGCTCCCTGTCACTGCAGGCACATTTCCCCCCCCCCCCAGTTTTCTGCATGGGGTGGGGGTGGATGCAGGCTTGGGGCTCCCTGCCCTGCTGCCCTTCTCCTGGGAGCCCCATGCTGGCTGTACCCCTGTGGCAAGGGGCAGTGTTGGCATGGACTTGTGCCCTATGCTGCTCCCGGGTAGACAGGGGGCACACAGCCGGTGCAGGGCTCCCAGGGAAAAGGCAGTAGGGCCAGGAGCCCCAGGTTCACAGCAGGCAGCCCACACCTGCGCCTGCTCTGCTTGGCTCTGCTGCCGGCAGGGAGGGGTGGGGAGGAGAGGCAGAGACATGTCTTGCCTTTCCATTTTGAAGTTAAGTCACCCTGCATGTGACAATGACCCTGCATCTGTGGCCGGTCTACGTTTGTGGCACAGTTCCCCAGTGAATTATGCCCATGACTTTTTGCCATTCATTGGTGAAGTGTGCTGTAAATTTAGACTGTCCACACACGCCAAGCGATCTCCCACCATAAAAAGGACTCTCCAAAATTAAAAAGAACCTACTGGCTACAAAGTTAGTGCTTGGAAATGTGTAACAGCTCTACAGCTGGTTTCCATCCACCTTTCATTTAAACATGTAGCCGGGTCTTGATGCTGCTGGCTCCTGTTGGAAATATTCTTGTTTATGTTGTGACTTGCACACAGACACCCCATGTCACCTTGTAAAGGATATTGAGGCAGCCTAGGGTGGTGTGGGACCTGGCTGAGAATCAATGGATTAGGGGTCCCAGGTGTGTATACATACGCCCATGGAAAGATGCAGGGTGGATGTAAAGGTGCACTCCCCCCCCCCCCCCTTTGAGTCCTGCTTCACCCAAACTTTAAAGCCAACTGCGTGGGGGGGTTAGCGGTCTTTCTGTTCAGGCAGTGATGAGAGAGTCAATTGACTTCGTGGTTTATTATCTTCTTCCTGAGTCCTGCTAATCTCTCTCCATTCCACAGGTGTTAAGGATTCTTCCTCCCTTTTATGGTCTTGATCTTCCACTATTCAAGCTATTCTTTCTTCTGCCATTTTGCTGTCTGTTTGCCGTTCCTGGTAATGAGTCTCTTCCATTTCACAGCCCTACAGACGCTTTTGATCTCTAGCTAAAAACCTTAACTCAGGTGTGGTCATATTAACTCAGATTTAGAAATGACTGACAGTGAAATATTTGAGGCACTGCCAAGACATTCAAAAAGGCTAGATTTTGTTTTGTGAATCTGATAAGAGATGTACATTTAACTATAGTGACTGCAGGACTAATGACATGCTATACTTTATTTGTCTAGTTTGGTTTTTTTCAATTAATATATATGCCTAGCAAATTGGTACACATTCCAATAGTTTGCTGTGATCTTAAACTTAATAATATGGCCTAAGGCCCTTAGGATATAAGTAAAGCGTCTAGTTTCTCTTGAACTGGAGAAAATGTGTCACGTGGTGATTTATCATGTATTCTGCACCCCACTTTTCAAAATCCTGGATCCATCCATGCACATCGCCTACCTTGGACCTAAATCTCATTTGCTGCACTGGCAATAGGTTGCTCTGTTGTATGTCAGTATTTATTGATACTTTTGGCTTGCGTAAGGCCATCTTGTCAAATCCTATGCCATTTATTGGAGAGGCCTGTAATTATTCTTAGTAGAAAGTTTAATCGTATATCTAGAAATAATTAGCTCATCCCTACAGAAGAAGAGCATTTTTGAAACGCACTGGAAAAGTGTGGGTGGTCTAACAGCAGGGTCCAACCAAGGGTGACCAAGGTATGGTCTGCCACCTGTATCTGGGTTGGGGAGCTACATCATGCAGCCCACAGGGCTCCACACAGGACCAGAAATTTGGCAGCAGGATGAGTGGCAACAGCATTAATTGCCACAGCTCCATGTTCGTCCTGCCAAATTTCTGAACCTCTGGGTAGCCCCTGCAGGCTGGATGATATGACCTTGCATGCCACATCGGGCCTGCAGACCAGTCTCATGCAACTCATCCAGCTGCTGAGCCAAATGAGTTGGACCCTGCTGTTAGACCACCCACACCAGACAAGATAAAATAGGGCATGTTCATAAATGTCTTTGTGTTTGTGCTTGCCTGCATTTGTCTTATATTTGAAGCAGCCACTTCTTAGTTACCAGGATGCATAGAAAATGAAATAACTTGTTTGTGCAAGAAAGACATTATCTTCACTGCAGTTAGATGACTTTAGACTAAACTTTGTTCGTATCTGTAAGAAGATTCTGTGAAAGACGCTCTGGAATGGGAAACACAGCCGTATAATAATGGCTTTAAGAGAGGTGAACTGAATTCAAACTATGTTAAGTACTTTTAAATAATATCACTTTCCTTCTTAGTTTAAAGGCACAAATACACTTATGGGTCATGTATTTTGAATAGAGCCATTGAAGAATGTTCTGACCAAGTCCTGTTTTAGTGGAAAGTATTTATTTGTTGAAACTCAAAATTTTCATGGAAATGTGTTCATTTGAAATATACGTTGTTCGGGAAAGGCATCTCAAACCCAGGTTAGAATTTCTCATCAAAATTGGAGAGAGAGGAGACAGCCCAGAGGTTAGGACACTCACCTGTGATGTGATCAATCCTGAGTCATGTTTCTTTTCTGCCCAAGAGGGTAGACACACAGTGCTTTTACATCAGACTAATAGGACTTCACCCCAAGTAAAAGTGGAGTAGATGCGGAGTATTCAGCCTTACTCAATGGTAAAATAACCCTTCAGAAAGGCAGTTTCATCCAGGGGTCACTGTTTTAACAGTGCAAACCCTCTCCGTTGTCACCTAGTGGCCAAATGCTATAATAACTCCTTCTGCAGACAGTTAATTTGGCAGAGGGAGTCTGGGTTCTATTTATTAAACATAACTTTGATAAACTTATTGTGAATTTATTACAGAGTAAAATGTAGATACATTTCTCTGTAGTGATAATATCATGTGTCCACACCCTTTTTCAGGTTAGCTGGGTTCTGTAGCTACCAGGCTGTTGGCTATTCTAGGATGGGTTTCCTATTGGGGCTGTTAAACTTTGTTTAAATAATATTCACTAAAGCAAGGACTTGAACAACAAATTTCCCAGCTTAAGGAACTGATCTTGCAGACACTAAATCTTTTGAGTAATGCACGTGTGAGCATTGCCCTGGAAGTCACTGACACTATTCATGGAAGCAAAGTTAAATGAACAGCTGTTTGCAGAATTAGATCCTAAAGGTGTTTTTGGCTTATCAGGTCTTCAGTGCAGCTGTTCCTGTGTTTCATTTGTTAAAAACTACTCACTTTCAAGACTAGTTTGGACTTAGGCTTGTTCATTTCTGTTAATATTTTTCAGCTGTGTTAAAACCACTTTTATTAATGCATCTCCCTTAGATGAGGCCCTGCTGCTCAGTCTTATAAGTTTTATATAAAACTCATACACACTAAGTAGTTGCCATTCTGACAAATAATTAGCATATCAATTTAGCTTTAAAATTCTATTCCTGCTCAATGTAGTTTGCCTTAAGCTGTGATGAACAGAGGGCATGGAACTGCACAGAATGTGGTTGCTGTGGCCACAGTGGTTGCTGAAGTATATCTAGGATTTAAGTCCAGTGAGGTGTCAGGAGAGGAAGCTGGTTGTTAGTGGAATAGGTGGAGGTGGTGCCCGAGTGGGAGAGGTTGTTGAAGTTCCATGGGAAGGTTGGAAGGGGGAAGGTAGAGGAGTTTGGGGTCATTATTGGATTCCTTACCTACTATATGTGCTGTAGGTACACTAGCTGCTTCCTATATTTAATCCAGCAGAGGGAGCTGCAGGAGGAGTGATTGCTCCTGAAAAAGCAGCTGCCTGCTCAGGTGGTGCCATAGCAACTTAATGCTGTCAGAAGACAACTGCCAGCAGTGCCTCCTGTCTGCCTGCAGCTCAGCTCTGTGTGTAACTTGGAGATGATCTGTCTTCTTTTGGTTTAAGACTGCTTTACATCAATTAAACATGATTCCTTTTTTGACCAGTATTTAATCAACACCCTTTGCTGATTTAGGACAGGGTCAGCAACATGCAACCTGTGAGACAGATCTGGCCTAAGGAGCTGGTGGATCCCACCCATGAAGCTGGATGGTTTTGCCTATACCCACACTGGGGCTGGACAGCTGGAAGATGCACGTGTGTTGCTGACACTTCTCCCTACCTGCCAGTCCTCAGGTGCAGGTGAAGCTTCCAGCCAGTAGGAAACTGAGCTAGGGTTGGGAAGCTTCCAGGTGTGCCCACGCAGCAGCTGGGAGG